AATAAAGGGCAAATTAGTCTTTTAGGGATGATAAATATCGAAAAGGAGGCGGTGTTTAGCGGTTTACTTAAATAATCGAGTTGAGTTGACTAATTATTACTCCATTAATTAGCTCCAACAATTATTTTCTCCTAAAAATGCGTTCTTTGTGGAAATGCAACGACGGGTCAACCATGCATACATACTTGTAGCTAGCTAGCTAGCTTAAGTATATGTATGCATTTAATTTCTAGATGTTCAAGAATAATAATTCCATTAATTAATTATATATATGTGGTGGATCGGAGGTTGATAAAACTATTGGATTATAAATAGTTGATGAAAAATAGTGACAGTATATATATTTAACATCTTAATTAATTTCTGCTAGCTAGAATCATAAGAATTTGTCTGCATAATGAAAGGTTAGGTCCGTTGAATATAAAATAAAATGAGTAATGCTATAGGCACATAATGTTGTACATAGAGGTGTACATAACACTCACATTGAGTGAGACTCACTAAAATTAAAAAATAAAGTGGACCCCACTCCATGTGAGTGTTATGTACATCTTTATGTATATTTATTATGTACATGTAGCATTTTTCAAAATAAAATTGAATGATAGCAGTATCTTAGTTTCTATTTTTTTTTTTTTTTTTTTTTTTTTTTTTTTTGAAGGAAAGTTTCTAAATTTTCAAAAAACAGATAAAAATATTGGTATGATAAAGCGGATGAAAAAAAAATAAAAATAGATATTTTGTACGGAGAAGACTTTGTCTGCATAAAATAATAAAATAGATATGAGTTTTATTTATTTAATGCGTTAGCTATTAAACTTGTCTACCTCTCATTCATTTGTATGTATGTATGTATGTATGTATGTATGCCTCATATAATCTTCTTAACTAATCTTTAAGTCAGTGTAAAAAAATAAATAAATAATAAATGATACGTGTACCAATACGTATTATTACTTTGCTTGGTATTTTGATATGACACGGATGATAAATCAGAATATTGAAACTTTGTGTTTATTCAACTTTACCTGAATTTTTAAAATTTTCTTTTAATTGTGTGCAACTTCTATTTGTTGAATAAAATTGTCAATTTTTTATTTTTATTTTTATTTTTTTTTTTTCCGATTAGAAACTATCTAAAATAATCATATTGAGATCACAAGCCATTCGTCAGCTCGACTTGTTAAGCCCTGAATTATGTACAACTCATTGATTAACGAGATCATATCAGACTCAACAAAAAATATTATTTTTAGTTTTGCTTAATCTTTACTTTTAGTATAATTCAACTTACTAAATCTGAAGTTGGACTCACTAATATTGATAACTAAATTGAGTTCAGGTTAATTTATTTGTCTGACCTTTTAATAAAGTCGGAGTATCAAAATTTGAATCTCAGCAAAAGCAATAGAAATACATTTAATTTAAAATCATATATAAATATAATCCCGACTAGGGTTGCAAATGAGCCGGTCTCGAGTCAAAGCTCGACTCGAGCTCAAGTTTGACCGAACTCGAGTCGAGCTTGAGCGGCTCGAGCACGAACTCGAGTCGAGCTCGAGCCCTTATTTTGCATTGTCGAGCGTCGATATATATATATTAAATTATTAAAATATTCCTTATATATATTTAAATAGTATAACACATGTGTTTAATGATAATTTCACTTAAAATTTTCGAGTCGAGCTCGAGCTTATTGTATTTTCTTATCGAGTCGAGCTCGAGCCTCATAAATCGAGCTCGGGCTCGAGCAAGAGCAGCTATAAAAAAAAAAAATTAATCCTGCTCGATAAGACCAATGTTCGACTCGACTCAATTCGTTTGCAGCCTTAATCCCGACAAAAAAATGGTTAAAAATAGGGCAACACAATAGTAAATGCAAATAAATGATGTCAAATTGGATAAAGAAAAAAAACAAAGGCCCCATATATATATAAAAATAAAAAGGCTATGGGGGCTTTTTTAACCTTTTTGCGGCCAGTGGTCCTCTGCTTTCAAATTGGTTTTCCATTTTGTTCACCATAACTCCTCGTACTCTCCGTTCTTCTTCTTCTTCTTCGCCTTACTCCTCTCTCTCACACACACACACGCACACACTCAACACCAGTTTCCGTATATAGACACACACATATAGATATATATATAACCCAATCGAAACGCGAGTTACATCTTGCCCAAAGTAACCAACAGTTGCTGAATATCAAGAAGAGGACATCGATTTCTCTTAATTTTCCCTAGTTTCTTCCATTTCAATTTTCCTTCCTTCGTCCTGCAATTTAGGTGCTTCATCTTTTAGTTTTTCGCCTATGTAATGCATCAGAAAAAATCTGAAGTACAGATCGGAACAGAAAGCAGCGGCGTCTCTTCCGATTTCAACCCGACCCCACCTCTCCCGCCGCCTTCCCTTACCCAGAAACACCCACACCTTTCCCAAAATTCCCATCCTTGTCCCCACCACCCACCTCCTCCGTCCGGTCTCAACCCCTCCCTTCAGATCCTCATCAACGACGACGAGAACCAGCAGCAGCTGGACCAGAATGACCCTTTTGCCCTCAAACCGCCGACCCCTTTTAAGCGACCCCACCTCCAGCAGCAATTCTCCAGTTCCCTTCCCAAGACGCCGACTTTATCGAATGCCCTTCATAGATACAGCGGCCTACCCTCACCGAACCCACCTCCAAAATTCAATATCTTCTACAATCGGTCGCATAAATTCCTGACCCATTTCCTCCACCACCTCCGCCACTTGCGCCGCCGCCTTCGCGTCCACCTCCGCCTCATCCTTTTACTCAGCCTTCCGTTCTTCTACTTTCTGGTCTCTCACCCATCCAGCTCTTTCTTGCTTGATTTCCTGTCTGCTTTTGCCTTCTCGGCCGTGCTTTTGTTCTCTTTGAACTTGGCCATCCCACGGCTTCCCACTATAAGGTTGTTCCTTGCCAGGTCATTGCCGACCAAGGTTAGTGCAAAGGATCACGCGAGCCGGCCACATTTGCCGGTATTTTGGTCTATTGGGTCTCGTCAAAAGGCGGATAAGAAAGTGATTTCAGGGTGTTATGTACAGGCTTATAGCAATGGGGATGTGTACGAGGGTGAGTTCCATAAGGGGAAATGTAGTGGGAGTGGGGTGTATTACTATTATATGAGTGGTAAGTATGAGGGGGATTGGGTGGACGGCAAGTATGATGGCTATGGGGTTGAAACGTGGGCAAGGGGTAGCCGTTATAGAGGACAGTATAGGCAGGGTCTTAGGCATGGTTTTGGGGTGTATCGGTTTTATACTGGGGATGTTTATGCTGGGGAATGGTCCAGTGGACAGAGTCATGGTTGTGGGATCCACACCTGCGAGGATGGAAGTCGATATGTGGGAGAGTTTAAATGGGGTGTTAAACATGGTCTCGGTCACTACCACTTCAGGTAATAGTCATGTTGTGTTCTTCATATCCTGTGCCATTTGCAACATTTGATTCATTAAGCTTATGTTATTTTCATTTGGTACCACGAAGAGTTGTTTAGTTAGCAACTTTGGAGATGTTGGTATCATCGAGTGAAGTCTTTCGTTGAGTGCATTTGAGTCTACTATCTTAATTTGAGATTGACACATAGCATTAAGTTTATTCGTTCATATATGATGGCACAAACAGTTATCCATCCATGATACAAAGGAAGTAATCTGCATCTTTATTTTCTATTTGTACACGTAGTATTTCAAGAATTTGTTATTCATGCAGACATTGATATCTTACAATATGCTTTTGTCTGTGGTCTACCTTATGAGATAATGTGCCTCACTTGTGCTTTAGCTATTTATATTATTCTGTGAAGCCCAAGTGTTTAGGTGGGTAGAAGTGGAAATGTGTGGTAGTAGTGCCTGTGGTTTTATTTTTCAGTTTGTTCTTTGTTGTATAATGGTATGAGGTTGAATGTTTTGCAGCTGCAAACTTTAGAAAGTAATCATGTCTTGAGTTGCTTAGTTAGTAACAATAATTTACTGATGATTTAATCCGTAGAGTAATTCCATAATATTTGGATTATGCTACTGACTGTGTGATTGCTGCCTGCAGGAATGGGGACAGATATGCTGGAGAATATTTTGCTGATAAAATGCACGGATTTGGAGTGTATTATTTTGCGAATGGCCACCGTTATGAAGGGGCATGGCATGAAGGTAGAAGGCAGGGACTTGGGATGTACACTTTCAGAAATGGTGAAACTCAATCTGGTCATTGGGAAAATGGAATTCTTGATGTCCCAAGCACACAAGGCACTGTCTTTCCTGTTTCTCCTGTTGCTGTCAACCACTCCAAAGTGCTTAATGGAGTACAGGTAAACTATTCACGTTTATATGTATATATATATATATATTATTAACATCTGTGCCTGATTCTTACAGGGTTGGTGTGTAACGAAGTTTTGTTCCCACTGGTTAGCACATATGTATGAAAGGGTTTTTACTGTACCAATATCCTCCATACTTCTGTATTTATCTAACAAATGCCAGATCATTGATGGTGCAGTTTGTAAAAATGTCAGAAGGGTGTTGTAATTTTGAAACAAAAACTTTCCTTTAAAATATCTTTCTCAAAGATAGTTTTGATTAATAGCTCTATACATGTATGTATAGGTTACCTACTCTAATATTTTAAGACAGATAATTTCAGAGATTTTCCTGGTGATTTCCAACATTTAGACAGATTTCATTCAGCTAGTAGCTGCAGTTTAGTTTTGAATGTGTTCACTCTGAATAAGTGGCATCTCCACTTTTTAGTGGGTTATTTGTTTACCATGTTTCGTATCAAATTAAACTACTTGTTTGCAAGATTTTCCGCTTTCCTGCTACCTATATAAGACATGTTAGATGCATCCTGTATTGTTGTGTGTTTTTCTTGTTTAATCTCCATGTGTAAGTTCTCTAGAAAGTACCCACACGTGTCAATATATTCCTTCCTTTTGGTCAATGATTTTCTACAGAAATTATATTATTCTTGCATCCGCCATGTGATAAATAAAGCATTGGACTGGTTATATTTCAGTTCATCCCATGAATTGCAGAATTTTTATGGTGTGGCATGCTAATTTATTTTTATTTTCATTGTTTAAAAGTTACAATATATTATTCGACTAAGTTACTGTAGAATACCAGATGTTTCTGCTCGACCTTTTTATGGTCTCTGAAGCAATTGATTTCTGTGATTTTATCAGGAAGCTCGACGTGCTGCAGAGAAAGCATATGAGGTGGCAAAGGTGGACGAGAGAGTCAACAGAGCAGTTGCTGCCGCCAACCGATCCGCTAATGCTGCCAGAGTTGCGGCTGTGAAGGCCGTGCAAAAGCAAATGCATCACAGAAGCAATAGTGACAATATCCCAATTCCTGTTGTGTGATAAAGCTTGCAAATTAAATACCAAAATCCAATAGCAGAAAGAAATGTTTGCAGTTTTCCAGCCAGCTCATAGCGCCTTCAATCTTGAGTCTTTTCATATAGCGTAGCGCGGTTTTATGCGGAAGCTGAATTTTCGAGCAGCCATGCTACGACCTCCTTACTAAAGCCTTATGTTTTACTTTTGTTGTTGTTTTTTTTTTTTTTTAATGGTTTATGTAAAGTGAAATAGGTATATATGAACTAATGCTGGTAGCCAGGGAAATTCCTAACCCCATCCAGCACACCTTGTATGTAAAGAAATTTTTATGACTTGTAAGAAACTCAGTTGAGATTATATAATGTTAACTATTATCTATTTTTCTTTACAATTAAACAGATGATTATTTTTAAGAATTTAACTCTTAACATGGATATGTAGATTTGAATCTAAAAGATGTTGCAATAAATTCATGTAACCAATATTACAATTACATGATTTGAATGTTGAATAATACATGTAATACTGATTGTGTGGGTGCTTAATGGATTGTTAAATTCATCTTCATGGGAGGTGCATTCCTTGAATTTAGCTTGGTAGTATTTGATTCTTGAAAACAAACTAAAACTGCAGAAAAAGGCAATAGAATAACATTCTTATAAAACCGCTACTTTCAGCAAAGAAAACTCCCAAATAACTTTGGGCTGCATATTCTAAAGTATCCCAATCAACATCCGATGCAGAACATACCAAATATTGGCCAATAAAATTACAAGTCACTAAAGGGTCACTCAAAACGTAAATAACAACTCAAAAAAGAATTAACTTGACAAGAACAAAATTCACTAAATTTAGTTCTCAGTCTGCTCCCTTAGCCTACGGATGGTGCTCCTCACTGTGACGGCACTGGCGGTGCTGCAAACAGACAACACGTGAATTTAGTCACATGATGCTCATTTAATTTAAACTAACAAAATATCCATAATAAAATGGAGGGGTCATTGATGATTACTTCAAAGTGTAGGCACCACCAGCTTTCACTTTGCCACAGTCCTTGCATCCCCAAATGCCGACGGCCTTCCTCTTCACTGCATACTGTAATCAACAGCCCATCATTCAGAAAAGAAAAAACAACAAATCATATCTACATAACTTATCACAAACTGAGGTTATACTCCATTGTATACCTTGCCACAAAATTCACAGAAGTACTTGCTGTGCTGGCTGACTTCCATCTTCTTAATTTGCTTCCTCAAACTAGCACCATAACGGGTGCCTAAAATTAAAGGAGAAGCACCAGAAACAGGCTTGTTAAGTATAGGAAATCAATGTCAATCCAACATGGAACAAAAACTGACACCCCATATTGTTAAAAAAACAACTGACAACACAATGTTTCTCAAGTCATATAAGACCAAGATGAAAATTGTAAACTAAATAACTGAACTGATCATTACTCTGTTATAAAGAAGCAATATGCCAAAAGATGATCAAAAGGGAAGAATTAAAAGAACCACAAAACTGTCTGTCTGCTTACCATATTTCCCAACAATACCAACCTTTTTGGTTCTCTTGGCCTGCAAATAATGAAATGCTCCATTAATTATACAGGATTGAAAAGAGAAAAAGAAAAACACAAACACATTACAAGCTTTCCTAATAATCTACAACCTAATCCACTGAACCTTAAAAAGTGGCAGCCATGGTTATCAACATTCACCAAAAAGGGAATTTAGCAAGCAAAACTTCACATCCAGCAAAACCGACTTCTAAAAAGATAAACTAGTGTACGTGGAAATTGATAAGCTTAGCTTACCCGTGCAAATTTCTTCAGCTATGCTAGATCTAAAACCTAGTATCCGGCTGGAATATAGCCACAGCAGAGAAAAATTCTATGAAAAAAAAAATCCAACTTCTAATTTCTAAAAAGCGCCAATACAAATATACATGACAACCAATTTCCACATCAACGTCAGTGTCACCAACCTATGGCTGATTCAATAAAACTACAGCAGAAACAGAGGAAATGGAAAAACCTCGGTGTTTTGCCCAAAATTCTTAAGATAAATCGAGAAAGATCGAGTTAATCACAATGCGAGGGACATAGACAGTTCACAGTAAAACAGAGATATGTGTGTGAGAGAGAAGGAATACCATCGGAAATGAGTGCTAGCAGGCGGCGCGTCGAGGCTGCAGCGTAGTAAACCCTAGTTTCAGCTCAGGAGCAAGACCGGCAGATGTTGCAGGTGTTTTATATAGCAGGAGCTGTAGTATTGAAAATTTCACTGACCTCCGTTAAGTTCTTGCGTATTACAAATACACCCCCAAGTAGATGCGCTTAGAAATTAAAATATATATATATATATATATATATTTATATATATCAACTAGTATAAGTCTCGTATATTGCACATGTAAGAGATATTCACTAATATTAATAAATTAAAAACTTTCATTAAGTAATATTCATAAATAAAAAATATGGAATCAATATGTAATATAATTATCTATTCTAATTTATTGAAAATGTTATAAAAAGTTTAAATTGTACAAAATTACATAAACATGTGTATTTAAAACTAGTTCAACTCCCGTGTATTAAACGGTGTATTACACGGCTGTTTGTTAATTTTCTTTTCTTCAAAATCTAAAATTAATGAGAAAAATATTTAAAAATTTAAATACCTTTTATAAAAATATATATTGGCCATGTTTTTTTTTTTGGCTTTTTGGCCAAACCGCTATTTTAGCGGTTTTGACCATGCCAAAAACGCTAAAATTATATTTTTATGTGTGTTTGGTTAAATAGTTTTTCCATTCAGCTTTTTGTACAAAAAAAGCTAAATTAGAAACGCCACACATATAGCAGCGTTTTACATTAGCTGTTTGTTTTAATGGATCAATTTTTTTTTCCTTCATTATGGTATTTTTCTTTTTCCGTTACAATTGGTGAAATGGATGTTGAGCCTATTTTTTTTTCTTTTTGTTTTTCCTTTACATTATGAAGTTTAGTATTATATTAAAAATTTTGTTGTCATTTTTAAATATCAATTTGTATTTAAATATATTAATACACATTTTATATTTTTAATTTATATTCTTTCTATTATTATTCTTTAATTATAGTAAGTATGAAAACTTAATTTAATTTATACTTTAATTATAGTAAGTATGAAAACTTAATTTAATTTAAGAATCAATTTAACTTTTGTTGATACAAAAAATAATTACATAAATACGACTGGTATTTTTTGCTTTTTAAATATTGTTATATTTAACAAAATAAGTAAGTTAATAATAATAAATATATTTTTACAAATCAATCAGCTATCTATCCAAACATCCTTTTTAGAATCGCTAACAGAATCAACCGGTCAAACCAGCCAATACTAACAGCTGGTCAAAACAGCTATTACAATCCGCTATCCGCTAAAATTAACCGCTAATTACCAAACAAGGTCATTATTATATATTTAGTATGACACTTTTTTTATTTGTGAGACTTACCTGTATTATATTATAATAATTTTTTTAACTTACAACATATAACTACATTAAACATAAATATATCAATTGAGAAATAATTTATTTTTCTAATGAATTTTAATAAATATAATTATTTTTTATTATTATAAATATAAATATAAATAATTTGTTTCAATATATATATAATATGGATGTAAAATCGAAGATCATCAAAAGATGATTAATTTGATATATTATATATGTAAAACCGATAAAAAATACAAAAGTTATCAACTTTTAATATACATTTACAATTCAATAGTTAATTGAAGGAAACAAATCAAAAGTCATGGATGTATTAGTCACTTAGTGTCTCACAATGTAAAATTACAAGGAATTAAAGGGTTATATTAGTACAAGTGATATTAAAATACCTAAGTTAGCTAAATAATATTTATGGAATGTCCAAACCTAGATTATTAATTATTAATATATCAATATTATTTGTCCAAACCTAATTACGAAGCATGATTCTTCGCCAAGTAAGATTCCGAAGCACCAGAAGCAGCCACGTAGGCTCAGCGCATTCCGGAATTATATATAGGGAGGATTAGTGCACAACCCGTGTGGTGCACATAACTGATAATAAACCACATTATATTCGTTCAAGATAACTATCATTTCAAAAGTTATATTCATAAATTCGATTTGACTATAATGTGATTCCATAAAATAATTATTCTGGTAAAAAAAATCATATATTTAACAACCTATGTGAATAATTGTTCGCTAATTATTTTTGCTATCCGCAAGTGTACGGCGTAGCTATAGGTAGTGGCGAGCAAGGTCGTATTCCACAGAGATTGTAGTTAAATTAATTAAGTACTAAAATAATAACGATTAAATATTATCTAGACTAATGAATTGAATGATGATTATGAACTAAGAAATTAAACTAAGAACTAATTTACCTAAAGAAATAAAAATAAAATAAGATGCAAAAGATAGATTCTAGGATAAGCGTTCCTCGGAATTAATTCATGAAACTTTTATATTCATACAAACCTTATTTAATTTTACCAATCGTAGAGATAATCGCTAAATTGATTTCAACCTTTCTCTCGAACAAGCAAATCATAGATATTAATTGTTATCTATCTCCTCTCGGTCTCAAGATGAACAACTAACTCCCATAAGTTCCTAGGATTTTCGTTCTCTCGCAAGATCCTATCAACCTCTCGGTCTGTTTATTCTCTTACGTTATAAATTTCTCAATTCTAGCAATCAATTATCTCCTCTCGGTCTCAAATCGATCACAAATATGCATTCATAGCGGCCGTCTACTCACACAATAAATAATAACCACAAGAAATTTATAAACGAAAGATAAACCGGAATGAAATAAATAAAAACTAAATCATACATCAATCCGAGTACTAACAAATCCTAGAATCCAAAGAAATGTAGCTACTAAACATATTTTCAATACTCAAAATAACAAATCCATGAGTTCAATGAAGAAGAAAAAGAGAAAAGAAAGAAGAACTATTGTTGCCGTT